ATTGACTTTTCTTCTGCTAAATGTTACCTAGCTGCTCCATCTCAGACAGAAAAATGACCATTTTTCTCTGAAGAAGTGGCATGAAATATGGATAGTCTTGTGTGTTTAGAAACTCTTGAGTTTTTAAAAATGGAAAATATGAGAAGGACCCAGGAAAGCACTTTGTGTTGTGTAGAAATGCTGCCACAATTCAGAAATAGCTGGGCAGTAGCAGTTAGAAAATGGCTGGGCCTGGAAAATGCCATGTGAGGTTAAAAATACTGAGATTTCAGAATAGTTCAATATGGGTTTTTTTGTGGTAGTTATCTTAAGTACTCCACTTGTGTTTCCTCATGAGTTCCATGGTGTCTGCTGGAGGTGAAAGTCTGGAAACAGCCTGTATGAGAGCATGAATAAGACATGATCAGTTCTTACTGATGACAAGAAGAATTAATCTTTGGATAGGCCCTCTGAATTCTTGCATCCAAGGAAGGGAGTATCTGCGTTACCTGAAGGAAAGGCATTGCTCTTGGAAATTTCCTGACAATTTACTGTGTTCTCTGTAACCGATGATGATCTGGAAAGTTGAAATTATTACCTTTAGTAATGGCAAAAAATTGTTTATTTTATCTTAAAGGAAGCTAGTTGGTCTCTTAATGAGAAACAGCTCAAACATTGCATGGCTTCAGTTCAGCAGAAGGATTGAACACTTTAACAGGAACACAGTTCTCCATGCTCTGACTATTTTGTGGAGTTGTGCAAGCTGTCCTAAACAGTCCAGTTTAAGGTATTGTTAACAAGTATCTCCATGGTGTAAAAAAATCACATCTTTGAGGTCTGCTTCACATCACGGTTAAACAGAGCCTAATTTTATCAAGTTTAATATATTGTGCAACTTAGAGATTTCCTTTGGTCTTTGCTTGTAGTTTTTATTTTAAAAATGCTTAATTTCTGACACAGAATTGCTCTGATTAGTTGCTACTTGCTGTACACTGCTCATTAAAGTATCTGATTAAGAGAGGGGTAGAATTGAACAATATATCTTTGTGCAGGATACTCAAACCTGTTTTTCTGTCAAGATCAATGTAAGAACTGTTTCCCATTACTTGCATTCTTGGATCACAAAGTAGAATGAAGAAAATTAAATCAAACAGGAACCTGTGTGTCGTGAGGACCATCTTGTGGTTAAGAAAAGTGATTTGAGAAGACAATGTAGATCACAACAAATGCCTATGCAAACATTTAAGGAAAGGGATGGAAGGAAGGAAAGAGAAAGTAGGCATGAATTTTTTTCCCCACTTCTTATCTCATTTTTCTTTAACTGAAGAATGTAACCATATGAACGGGAGGAGAAGGAATTGGACTTGGAATCTCAGGAAAGGCTGCTCCATGGAAACTGTTTGAAAACAATGGTTTCCAGGCAGTGCTGGAGGAAGCAATAGTGGTTGATGTGAGCAAACTCCAATTTTATCTTTGCCATGTGTGCTTTTCCCATGAGGTCTCGATTGCATGTTGCAAGATGGTGCTTTTCATGGACACTGAACCTCTTTGTACGAAAAAAGTAGGGAGCACAGGAAGGAAGACAAGGTGCATCCTAGAGCAAGCCCACCAGCTGTTGCTTGCTAAGGAGGTTTTTAGATTGGATAATATTACTAAAGCCCAAAGGTTTTGACATTTGATCTGTGTTTGTGGATCTGTGCACCAAATAAACCCCATTTTCTAGTAAGTCTTTCCACTTAGCTTTTCACTCTTGAAACACCCTCTTTTTTTATGGGTCAGGAGGAAACATAGCTTCATTCCCTGCTCTCCTTCAGAAAGGCCATTTGGACCAGAAGCTTTGAAGACTTGATGGTGGACTAAAATAAACATTCTCCTTGAGAGCATTACATTTATAGTAATAGTGGGCTGGTGTCCTGTTTCCTGGGTCAGCCCAGCTGGCAGCCCACCTTCCCCCTGAAACTATTTTCTGGCCTTGGGGTTGTGTCAGGACTGCATGTCTTGGGTGTAGGAAGAGGAACACAGGCTCTGACCCCTCTTTCCTGCCTAGTATTACCTGTTAGCTACAGCTTTAGCTGGGTCTGAAGTCTCTTCAGAATGTCCTTTTCAACTGATGTGGATGTGAAAACAAATTTCTAGAATGTACTATGGCTGTATGACTTTATCAACCTGAAGAACCTCAAGCACCTGCCTTATGGGAATGTACAGGGCTGAACATCTGACAACTGTGTGATCTGTTAACTTCCTTGCTGCTTTATACTTGAAAAAAAAAAAAGAGAAAAAAAGAAATGAAATCAGCATAAATAATAACAAACTTCACTTATCTTAGCAGCAGTTAAAAATGTACTGTAGATTCATATCTCTAGTAATAAGCCTGGTATTTCAAGACTGAAAAAAATACAAACTTAAGGTCATAAACATCAAATGAAAATCCATATAAATATGGCAAGTAAACATAAACAGCTAATTCATCATAGTTACAGCTTTTTATTGGAAAGATCTGTGAATAGCAGTGTGGTTGATTTTTCAATTTTATTTCAAATAAGACCTAAAAGGAGATGTGATTTGTGGATTTCACCTTTGCAATATCTTCTTGGGTCTAAAACAAGGGTAACTTGGTAAACCATTGCAACTTCCTCTTTAAAATTTGACAAGAGCTGGTTTCATGCTCTTACCTACTTTTTTACTCAAAAATTAGAAAAACTGAAGTCTGAAAAGGATAAATAATGTCTGTATCTAACCAATTTTGAGATTTTGATGCATAGTATCACAAACCATTTTTCACTGACAGTTAAATTGTTCTCTTAAATTCCCTTCCAGTGTGTATCTGTATTTTTTTAAATGGACAAACAATAATAACAAATGCAGCAAGTTGTGCTGTAATGTTATCTAAATGCTCATCTAGTAGAACCTTACACATTTTTGTTGTGTTGTGAAATTAGTCACAGTGAGAAACTGAAATGTGTACAACATTTTGGGAAAGAGAAGTAAGCCATTGATGTATACTTAGAAGTTATTAAAACATTTTTGAGTGAAAGATAGATTGGAAGCCCAAACTAAAAAATGCCCTATTTTTGTGACTGGCATTCTGTATCTGACATTGAACTTATTTATACAACCTGGGAAAATGAAGTGTAAGCTATTAAATAAATAATATAAATGTTGTTAAATAAGGAAGATTATTGAAAAAATAATCTGAAATGCTATTAATTACTCCTATGGGGAAATGTATTTTGGGGTTAAAGCAGGGGAGAAAAAAAACAAGCAAAACCAAGTTTAGCTGGTGATCTCTTGACTTTTTCCAATAAATGTTTACTGAGATCTTGACCTGAAATAGGATATGGACCAAGAATGCAATCTTGTTCTGAGATTAAAGTGTATTAACTCTGTGTTCTTAAACTCTGAAGACATGAAGCTGCACTATGGGGATCTCACAGACAGCACCTGCCTGGTGAAGATCATTAATGAAGTCAAACCTTCTGAGATTTACAACCTGGGAGCTCAGAGCCATGTCAAGGTGAGTAAACTTCTCTAGCACTGAGAATTGTGAATGGGTGGTGGTGTTGGTATTACCTTGGTTATTTTAGACTGCAGCATTTATAAGCATTTTAACAACTGTTAATTTCATTGGGTAAACACTGCCTTCAGTCAAGACAGTCATGTTTGCTGCAGTGCTAAATTACTGCATGAGTTTGCTACTCAATATATATTAAGATGTCAGAAGAAGAGAGAGTAAATTGTCATTGTCAACGAAATCTGCTTTTTTTGCCCTGTGAAACAACTTTTTCTGTAGACTTTGCTGCTGATCAGTCCTAGCTGAGAAATTATGCAGTGTTCTTAGGCCAAGCAGTACTTAAAACAACATTATTTGGTTGGTTTAAAATCATTACGTATATCAGAACGTGTAATTTCTATGAATTCTTCTCCTATACCAGTTTTCGTGCAGGTGATACTCTTTGAAATACTGACCTACAAACAGAGAAAACAGCCCTGTTACTACCTGCAGTATTACAACACTTTTGGGCTTTTGGTTACAAAAAATCAAGTTAGAGAAAGTGGAATAAAAAGGGGTCATTAAAAACTAGCAATTTTACCCTGACAAATGCTGCTGCATCAAAAGGATGGAAAATTAATAGTAGAGGCAGTAACTTTGTGGTTTACATTTATTAACCCACGCTGCTGTAAAAGCTCAGTTTACTAACAAGTGGCCACTATTTACTTGCAAAATCCTCATTCATACTTCGTGATTACAAGCTCAAGATGATGTCCAGGTAGCAAGTTGTCATTAAAATAAATTGTATGTCAGTCATATGTCCTGTCCTTATTGTGTGCAATGTGTTAGCATTCTAAAGTAATAATATTCCCTGGCTTCTCTTGAGGTGAGAAGTGAAGGAGTATTTAAGCCTCCTGAAAATCAGTTTTGCTTTAGTTTTCTAAGTAAGTTTTCCCAGAGAAAGCAGCGTGTTGTTCCTCTCACTGGAACCCTTGAAACACAGCAAGAGGAAATCACATTGGAGGACTGCAGTTATTGACAACACACACAGCAGAATACAGACACGAAATGAGAATTATTCTGCTTTTAATTTGCTTGCATGATTGAATTAACTGTGTTAACGTGGGTCTGGTTTATTAGGTCACGTACAGCAGAATAACAGTAGGGCTATATGAGTCCAAGGGCAGAAGATGGTCCAGAAGATAACTGAACTGCTGCTTTGCAGAGTGAAATCTGAGCCAGCAAATTATGCTGGGTATTTGCAGTCCACAGCTAGGTGTCCCAGCATCCCTTTTCTTGAACTGGTTTGCTGTGTAGCAATCTCTGTGGGAATTACCTGTCCCACTTAATTTGGGACTAGAATGTTAGTACCAAGCTGTGATGTATCTCCACGTGCCTGCTGCAGCTGCAACACCTTGGTCACAGCACTGGGAGGCATGAAGGGGTGATAGTGGTGCTCGTGCTGCTGCTATAGATTCTGAGATGTTTCTGCCATGAGTTATGGGAAGGATTATTCCTCAAATGTCTTACTGCATGATTAGCTCAGTTGGTTAGAGCATGGGGCTAATAATGCCGAGGTTGTGGGTTTGATTCCCATATGGGCCATTTGCTTAAGAGTTGGACTTGATGATGCTTCTAGGTCCCTTCCAGCTCAGACTATTCTGTGATTCTGAGCCAATGCAAATCTGGCGCTGACTCTTGGCTTTTGGAAATCTCATGTTCTAGAGGACAATGAAAATGGCTCTATTAGAAGCTGACCTGGATGCAGCAGGCTGATACTTAGGCAATGTTAGCAGTCCTATGGGAAGTCTAGATGAACTTCTTCGAGGTCTGCTTGCTTCCTAGCATCTCCAGTAGTACTTCTGCTGTTGCAATTGAGGAGAGAAGGTAAGAACCCTGAGTCTGTTGACTGAGGTGGTCAGGCAACTTTATTATGTTATTAGTAGAACTTAAAGACAGTCCAACAGTGCTTAGCATTTTAAAACAATTCCCAGTGTTGAAAGAGACAGTAGAACTTGGCCATCTGTTCAGGTGAATGTCTTCACCAGACACCTAAACAGCTGTTAGCATTGGACTGTGGTTATATAAACTTAGTGGGTTTGTTTATGTGCATCATGTTTGGGGAAGGAGGGAAAAGAACTTCTAATCTTAGCTTGCTTCACATTCTGGTCACTTTGAACCGGTGACGTCTTCAGGATTTTTTTGGTGGTGTTTGTATTGGCTTGTGTTTATGCAGAATAAAGTTTTCTATCACTCTCACTTCCAGTTAGTTTATGTGAGCCATGCTGAAATGAAGGAAAATAAAATCATAGGAAGTTGGTCTGGTTTCCTGTAGGAAACCAATGAAGATGAAATTGGTTCTTGGAATGAACCCACAGTAGTCTGGGAAATACTGTCAGAGAAGACGTTTTTCTGACTCATAAATAGTGAGGACTGTGACTCATAAAGTAGGTCACTGGGAGGCTGATCTGATCTTGTACGTGGAAGAAAGTGAGAGAAGACTGAAACTTGTTCCTTATTAAAAACAGTAAACTTAACAGAATGATATCATCAGTAGGAACAAATTATCCAGTGTGGATTCCTGTCTGTTTTGGTGAGAAACAGGGATTAGCTCTCTGCACTGTGGCTTCACCATGGGATGTTCAGCAAACAGTAGCACATTCACTTCATGGCTAATAAATAAACAGTTCAGCCTCATTTTCTCTATCCAGTCTTTATATGTCCTCCTGCTTTGAATTGTAATTCTCTGGGAATCTGGTGAATCGACCATGCTTTGTTTTTAATTTAATTTGATTTTATTGGTGTTTACAGTATATTGATTCTGAATAATGTATAGTAGCCATGCAGATGGCTTAATCCAAATTCTGTTATCCATAACTCTATATTCATCTCCTTCTGTTGAATGTCTTCAAAATCAATTATCCAAATGTAGGTTGCCTAAAATGATGTAAATGTCTCTTTTTGCAGAGTCTTTCAGAGGAGGCACACAGATATAAAGTTGTAACTATTTTTTCTTGAAGGACAGATAATCACATCAGTATTTGACTGCACTGTAAAATTTTGTTTGTTTGTTTTGGGTTATACTGAACTAGTGAAGCTGGCAAGTATTTTTTGACAAATTTCGGAATCCAAAAGGCAGTGTAACCTCAGTAAAAGATACACTGAAAAAGTTTCAAGTGCTAAAAGCAAGGTATATGAGCAGTTAAACTGTGGGCTGGATTTATGGCTTGCTGTCCTAGTAGTATTAAATAGCCTGGCCCAATTTAGCTGTAATGCATAGGTCTTCAGGGCCCAGGGAGGAAAATCCCAATTTAATCAAAAGACTGTGCTCACCCATCTCTCTTACTGCATCCTGAATCTGTAGCTGGATGCTGGTTGGTGGGAAAATGGAATATCTACAGAGAGGGGAATCTTGAAGTAGACAAGCAAAAATTTACATTATATAATTTCAACAGAGTTGCAGAAAAGTTGAAGGTCAGAAGGGACTTCTGGAGAGAGTCTAGTCCAACCCCGTTGCTCAAAGTGGAGTTATCTAGAGCAGGTTACAAAGAGCTTTGTCCAGTCAAGTGTTAAGCAGGAAGGAGACCCCACAACGTCCCTGAGCAACCTGTTTCCCCACCTATTTTTTCACTCACAGTAAAGAAACAGCACACACCACCATAAATTTTCATATTTTTAAATGGCATGTTTCCTCTATTCAGGAGATTATTGACCATTGCCTCACCTCCTGTTGCTGTATACCACTGAGAAGAGTCTGCCTTAGTCATCCTTTTCCATTCCGCTCATCAGATAAAACATCAGGGAGATCACCCTCTGAGCCTTCTTCAGGCAAAACAACACCAGCTCTTTCAGCTGTTCCTCGTATGATGGATGCTCCAGTCCTTCAGCATTTTGTGGGCTAAGACTATCACTGACCAGTTCTTCCTTGACTGTAAGAATTGTCTGTTCACAGCATTTCTCCTCGTGAGCTGTTCAGTCATCCATGTTGGGTTATCAATGCCCTCCAGACGCCTTCTGGCTTGCACCTGCTGTTATCCCCATAACAGATAGCAGGATGGTAAACTTCACCCATGAGGAGCAGGATATATGAGAATGAGCTTTCTTAGCTTACCTGAATAAAGTGTTAGCTATTACTACGTCACATTGTAAAGCCTGTTTGCATCCCCAGACTCCTTGCAGTCTGAGGAATATGACCATATGGGAAAGAGGTCATCTTTTTCATTTCCTATCACAGTCTTCTATGGGATGCTTCTTCCTGCAGTTGTAATTGTGGTTGTGATGATTGCTGGGGGAGGAGACGGTGCTGTGCAACTTGGTAGTGAAGAAGGTGGTGTTTGGGTCATGGCATGGAAGCTGGCATCCTCCTGTTTAGTACATAAGTTAATCTGAAAATTAAAACTATCTATTGCTCACTTTCTCCTGCAGGTTTTATCAGTGATGTTGCAGGGGCAGTACTCTTCCTCCATCACTTTTCTATCCACGCAGTTAGTATAGCTGAAAATCATCTCTGACAAAGTCTGTGTTGGAGAGGATGATGTTGTTCTGAGGCAGTCTCACATGAAGAAGACACTTTCACTGCGCATGCACAGTGAGTGCTTAGCTATGAGGAAAGTCAAGGCACTAAATAACTTAGCATGGAAGTGAGTACTGAAGTCTCCTGATTGCAGAGCTCTGGCATCCTTTCAAAGTCTCATGCTGTTCAATAGCCAGGTTTGGGAATGTGCTCTCCTTACAGAAGAGCTCTCTATTACAGCTCCTTATGTTGGAAACTCTTGGGTTTGGATTTCCTTAGTTCTAAATATCTCAGTAACACCAAGGCAAAATAGCTCCTTATGATTGCTGTCATTGTCTATTTGATTTGTTAATTCTGAAAATAATTCCTTTGCACTGGAGATATGTTTTAGTAGTATGGTCCATTAAACAGGAATACTCCTCTCTAATTTGTTGGATGGGTTTTTTTTATCACACATAAATGTCGTTAACAAGTAAATCTTAGTGATGCTACTTCCGTTTTTATGTGCTAGCTCTATGTACACAGCTTGGTTCTGATCCTGCAATCCTTTCTCATGGCAAAAAATGGTGGTTGTTGTTGGGCACTTGGACTTTTAAACATTTTTTTTCATTAATACAAGATTCCTTATATCAAACTGTAGGCTAAATAATTCAAATAATTAATTGTAAAGCTTTCCAGTATTCTGCTAGTAGCAAGGCTTATAATTACATAATTCATGGATTATGTACTGTAGCTTGTGGTTCTTATCATTCAGTATGCTGTTTTATTGTTGCATGGGCTTTAAGCTTCTTATGATTGTCACAGAAGCACATGGCCTCTGAGAAAACAAATGGATTTTTGATATGTTCTATAGGAGGAAAATTTTGACTGTTCAGTGTAACAAGATCTAGTCTAGTTAATTTTAAAGAACATTAGCAATACTCTGTAGAGATGTAGTACAACTTTTTCATAGGAAAAACACGCCTAACAGACTTTAATTTTATGTCATTAGAGAATTTTATAGCTATGCTTTATAAAACATGTTATGGTCTCAATATGATATCAAATTCCTTCTAATTTAGTGTGTGTGGCTGTTCAATTTGTTAGCCAAAAGTTGAATTTCCAAACCTGATTTCTGCTATCAGGCTATAAATGTAGAGCCTTCTGTCCTAGGGTGCCTCTGATTGGTGTAGGAGCCCTCTGTGGGGCTGTGGTTCTGGGGTGTGCTCAGTCCTGTCAGTCTCCTGTCATCTGTTTACTGGTGGTGGCAGCTCATAACACCAGCTTTGGGAACACAACCTCACTGGAAAATTGTTGTGCTAACCAGCAAATACTGTATTTGCACAGGGCTTTAGATGGTGGGTTCTTGGTCCTTAGCCAGGACAATTAGGCTCTCTGCTGTAAATGCAAAGGAATAAAAACTAGCTGGCCTACCTTCTATCCTGCAGAGTGTTTTACTGCTTTTGCTCATGTTGGTATTACCCATCTTGTAAGGTGCTGAACTGTCTTCATTTAGCTCAGCACCCTCTTTTAATTGCTTCAACTTCAGACTGTTGCAGTTGTTTGGATGCTCTCCTGAGTTTTGTGCAGGATGCTGTGTCCTTGTGAGATGGAGTGCACCAGAGGGCAGAGTAAGCCTCTCAAGTGATTCTTTTTAAATGCCTATATGTGTGTTGGTTTGCTGTGTGTACCTTAAACTCTTTACGTAATCTAATTCCTTTTGAGTGTTTTAGGTAGCTTTATACTTGAAATATTTTGGGCAATGCTTTTCATATAATATGTGCAGTACCTGTTCAAACAGATTCTGTGTGGCCTGGAAGAAAAGGTAATTCCAGTAATAGTTAGCAATTGGAATTATATACGTCTCTTCACTTGGTTCACTAAATATTTATGGCAACTTTATACAATCCTGTAATTGCAGCTTATATTGTCAGACTACATAGATTTAAAACCAAGTGTTAGTAAAGAACTTAGTGCAACTATTAATTTTATTAAACAGATTAACTTTAATAGTTAACTGTATGTATTATAACTGCAAAGGCTATGAATACATAAAAAGAACAATGGAATAATGCGCCCAATGGTAATAATATTTATTAGCAAATAGGAGCAT